TATATATATATATTAGGGGTGTAACGGTTCACGGTATGTATTGAACCGTTTCGGTACAGCCTGTTCGGTTCGGGACACTTGCGTACCATTTCGGTATTCGGTATTTGTATTAAATAATATAAATGTATTATTAGCGCGATATTAAGCGCAGCGGAACCATGTTCCTAGGCGAGTTTCCGCACGGACGCTATTGAGGGACGTGCAGCTGTACTGTGCGACACTCAATAGCGTCCGTGCGGAAAATCGCCTTTGGCTTCCCTGTTAAAATAGATAACGGGGATAGACGAGTGGATAAATTTAAAGTTGTATGCCGACATTGTTCCACGGAGATCGGGCAGGCAACACATCAACATTTTCTACTGTTGGAGATATTGTCACTGCAACCAGATCTGTGCTCTCTTCAGAAAATGTGGATAGGTTAATCTTTTTAGCCAAAAACTTAAAACTTGAATAGTTAGTTTTGTTGATATATAAGCTGAAGCTGTTGCTAGTGTTAAAAGTTTTCAGGTCCTAACTAGTTGCAGTATTTAATTTTTTATTTAAAAAAATGTGTTTTTCTTAATAAAGAGTGCAATTTATTTTAAATATCACCCAAATGTGTCACTTTTATTTATTTTATGCAAGAGTTCTATTGTGTATTGGTAGCTTTTCAAAATAAAGATTTTGTAAGCTCTTATTGTTTTGTACCGAAAATTAACCGAACCGAGCTCTCCAAGACACTGTACAGAACCGAATACGATTTTAACGTACCGTTACACCCCTAATATATATACATATATATATATATATATATATATATATATATATAAATATCTTTATTATATAAAAATAATTACATTGACTAATTTTATTTCAGAACTGTAATAAAAGTAATAAATGTTGAAACTGTAATAAATGTTGAAAATTCTGATTATGAAGATTGAAGAATTTGAAATCTACGTTTTCCTCTGTTTCCTCCAGGTATTCAGTTGTTGGCTCTAAAAGACGCTTCAGGTTTAGAGAAGACTGTCATTGTAATGTGAGAATTAGTGCTGAGTGAATGGAGTTTGACTGGTGCACCCCGCCTTTTGCCCCAGCAGAACCCCGTGACCCTAGCCAGGACTAAGCATGTAAAGAAAACGCAGTGATTTATTTCTATAAACAGTTCTCATTTTCAGAATGTACTTCAATCCTTAAATAATTAGTCCTAGTCTCCATAAAACAATGGTTTGGTTACTTTTAAATTAATATCTGACCTCATTGTTAATCCGCAAAGCTTATAAACCCCTTATGATAAAACACAATGTTAGAAATGAGAATAGTCCACTACCTGCCAGCCGTGGATGAAGAAGCTTGAGTGCAGTATATCTACAGAGCATGGGTAAGGTGGCAGAAGAGGACTGGTGCTATTTTAGGAACCAGAAATGACGCCTGAGCTTACAAAAGCCATCATCTGTTTGAACTACCAGTCTATCAAATTTTAATGTATTCCAATGGGATGAAAACACCGAATGGAATATTAAGCCTCAAATTTAGGGCGCCATAGTTGTAGCAAAGTGACAAGATGCAATAGTATGTGGAAAATATAACTGCAAGCAGTAATGCAGGGCCAAGCATCCAGGAGGCAAACATAAGATAAATCAGATGGATTGTAGAAAATAAAACCGAATTGAGCATTATCTATAATTTTTTGATTATTGGCCATTAGGTGGCGTTCTAAGTAACGCAAGTTTTGTTGCCAGTCTTAGGTACTGATGTCTCAGACCTTTAGTGCCAATGTCGCCTAAGGTTGCAGAGATACCACTCCACTTGGAACGAAGCCATCAAAATAGTCATGGCTCTTTTCGAAAACCGTAACAGCAATCAACACAATCCAAATCAATTTTTTCCAGCATGGTCTAAGGATGTCCTGGTTCAATTTTGGTGAGAATCTGACAAACAGTTTGGGTGGAGTTACAAAAAGTAAGGTTTTGAGCTAATTCAATATGGCAAACAGGAAGTTCAATCAACTATGGTAAATGTAATATCCATGTTCTCGGCTCCACCCAGGGAAAAAGCCTAGATGGAATTTTTGACAATAACCTAAAGCTAGCAAAAGTTATTAGCATTTTTCTAAATTCCTTTATAGCGTGTGACCACAAGGTGGCACTGGTGTCAAATTTGTTGAGTCCCTTCAGGGCATGGTGGCAAACATTCAAATCAACTTTCAGTAATATAAATTTATGCCTGGTTTTGTTTTGTTCTCCTGTTCTGAAGTTTCACCACAGCAAAATTTTTTTTTTTGCTATTTATTGCACTGTATACTAATAAGAATTGTCTATTACAAAGCTATTTATGCTCTTAGAAACATTTTTTTCAATTTACAATTTGATTTCACAGTTGTAAATAGTTTATTGTGATGTTCATGGCATGTTTTCTGCAAAATGTGCATGTTTTTGTTTTTCTGTCTTACTTTATAAATTCTAGTGTATCACAAAAACTAAGCAATGAATTCACTTGCTAATTTATAATTTTGAGGGAAGCTATGATGTGTCTCTGTTTAGAAAAATTATGTGGAGAAAAAAAAAACATTTTTAATTTTTTTTTGTGGTTTATTGTTGTTTTTATACTTTCTTCAGTTAAGATTGACCTAACGCCATATATGTTATTAAAATCTAGGATATAAGGGTTATATTGCTGCATGACAAATTAAAATACTCCAAAAAATGGCAACCACCCTAACAATCCCTACTAAACACTATGAAAACCAAAGAAACATCTTAGCAACTACTACGTAAATAAATCCCCTTAACAATGAAAAGTAAATGCCTTAGTAGCCACAGTATAACACTATGAACACCATCCCAACCACCCTAACAAACATTTTGCAACACCATGCAAACCATAGAAATCACAATAAAATCCCTTCACAACTACTATGCAACATGATCACCCTAGCAAACTATCTTAACAACCACTAATAAACACAATGAAAACCATCTGAGTGTGGTTCTACGGTGTAATGGTTAGCATTCTGTACTCTGAAACCAGCGATCTGTGTTCAAATCTCAGTAGGACCTTTAGGCGGCACGGTGACATTCCAGTTAGAAGGTTGTCGGTTCGAGGCTCGCCGGGGACCTTCCTGGAAGGACCTTGCATGTTCTCCCTGTGCTTGCGTGGGTTTCCTCCGGGTACTCCGCTTTCCCCCACAATCCCAAAAACATGCGGTTAGGAATTCCCTGAATTCCCCTTAGGTGCAAATGTGTGAGTGAATGTTGCCCTGTGATGGACTGGCGACCTGTCCAGGGTGTATCCCCCCCTCTCGCCCAATGTGTGCTGGAGATAGGCAGCGGCGGGTTTGAAAATGATTGAATGAATGAATGAATGAAAACCATCTGACTCATATTGGAACACCTTAGCAACCACTATTTAACAATGTAAACACCATCACAACCATTCTAACACACTAGGAACTATGCTATGTAACATAAACATTTTGTTATACTATGAAAACCACAATTGACAACTACTTTGCTGCATTATCACCCAGCGATGAAAAGTAAAAATCATGCCAAGCACTGTGCATCACCATCACAACCGCTAATAAACACTACGAAAACCATAGGAACCATATTGGAACACATTTGCAGCCACTAATTAGCATGACCACCTTAGCAAACACTATGTGCAACAAAACTGAAAACCTTAGCAACCACTACGTATCCCTATGATCCCCATCATAACAATCTTTATGAAACACTATGAAAACCATAGCAAGCAAGTCGAACATTAGCAACCACTATGAAACATGAACCTAGCAACAACCACAACAACAAAAAAGCTTAGCAACCATCATGATCACCCACCGTAAAGATCATGTAAAACTACAAAGACCCTCACAACCAGCTTGACAACCCTTATGTAAAATTATGAACACCTTAGTAACCATTTAACCCTTTACCCTAGCAACAAACAAGGCAATGACTCACAGAGAACATCCACAAAACCTGTCATATCATTTTTCAGGAAAGAAATCGGCTTGACGGAGAGACAATTACTGAGTCATTCATGTAAGTGATGAGCAGTCATTAGACATTGCATAAGCCTGATAATCATATAAAAATCATAATCAAATCTCAATTAAAATAATGTATCATTTGTTGCATAACAAAGTGTTTGGATTAACAGACACTTCCCACATAAAGCTTCAGGAAATACCTGCGTGCAGATTAAGGAAAGGTCACAGGAAAACATATACAGACTTTTATAAAATATATTTATTTGCATTTAATGAAAATGACTCACCTGTAGCAGTGTCTAGTACACGAGCCACAGCACCAGATGCATGAAAACAAACAAGAAATAAACATTAGATTAGATCACAGGGGTGATCCCAGAAAACACTAATACTTGTATTACAGAGCAGTTTTATTAGAAATATTAGGATTAATACTTTATCAAGAGAAGGAAATAATGGTATATTTACATTTGTATACTGTGACAAAATGAGAGATGTGTGTTCCATACAAACATAACTGAAGAAAATGTAAATTGCAAACTACCGAAGTACCAGATACTCTTATATAAGAACAAGAACTCTTCAAACACCACTGTTTTCTGTTGGCCAAAAATACACAAGCTTCCTTCCTGTCAGCGCAACATCATTAAAACTTTTACATTTGAAGAGAGAACTTTTCGACTGCAGCTTGAGAAATACGAGCTCAAACACGGAACGAAACAACAAATAAGTCTTTAAATAACTCTGGGATTTCACAAGTATATTCACTATCCTTTCATCTCAAAATAGAAAATGACACGTTAGGAAAACTACTTCTGATGGCTATTTTTATCAATAAAAAGAATAAAGTTTGCCTGTAAGAGATGGAAAAGTCTAAAAGAGCACAAACGATCCTCTGTCATTACCGCCTGAGGTTAGAACTCATTATAGATTGTAAACATTATTGGCTACCCATGGCCCAAAATAAAGAATTGATTATTTTTTTTAAAAGTGCCTCATGGTTAGACGTCACTTTTACTCCCCAATGTTTTTATTTATTGTAGTCTGTCTGATTTGTTTGTGTTTTAGTTCTAGCTCAATTCTTATTAGGACTTGAGCACAGAAGGTGTAAAGAACCCTACTGTGTTTGCTCAGAGTATTATTGTTTCATGGCTTTCTGTATATTTTTAAAGGCTTAAACGTGCTCGAAAAGTCAAAGAAATTTGAACAAACATAGAACAGGTGAAAATTTGCATATGATTTGTGATGTGGCAAAATTACTCTATAGGGCACACTAGAACGTTTCAAAATTGACAGGAAGTCGACCATTTCACAAAAAACTCTAGAACAGCCACTTCACTTGTGTTATACTTTAGCAAACTCTTCCTAGAGATTTTATCTCTAAACTCCACCAGTCTTATCTTAAGGAATACGGGGAGTTAAACTATGTGCGCACGCCGGCTGTCGAAATTTGAAATTTTGCCATAAACAGGAAGTTGTTATAACTCAAACGTTGGGATCAAACTTGCTGTTTTTGTTAAGAGTCCATGCATGAACACAAAACTATAGCAACCCAAAGTATCAGTTACAGTGCCACATAGTGGCCACATTATTTCTGCTGTTTTGCACCACTTTTTCAAGCTATTTTTAAAGGAAATGTTTGAAATTTGGAACATTTATGTAAAGCATAAAGACCTACAAAAAAACTAAATTGTAGTGAGTTTCCAAATCCAACATAATAATAAAAATGTTTGGCAAACAAAAAAAAACTCTAAAACTGGTACTTTTGGATGTCTCATAAGTTAATGAACTCCATCCGTCTCATCATAAGGCCTTTTGACTTAAGTTAATCTTTGTGAGCGCAGTGACCAAAAGTCAACATTTCACCATAAAGTTGTCATAACTTAGTCATGCAATGTCTGATTTATTAAACAATTCAAGTAAAAACGCATCTACAATGTACTTTCTCGGTTATAGCACCACCAGGTGGCCGCAGAAAATTTTACACTGATAAGATGCAACTTTTTACAATTAATGTCGGCCCTAACAGTTACAGAAAAATATTCAGACTCATTCACAGCACCACCTGGGGATCATGACACTTTATGACGTGGTTTTTATTATTTAATTTGTAATGTCCTAAATTGGTCGTTGTGCATATTGTAACAAAAAGATGCGAGAGCCCTTTGATCGCTGCTTGAGCTTTAATTAGTTTTAAAATTATTTTTTTTTATTAAGATTGAAAAACATCAGTAATTGTGATTTTATCCCACAACAGCTCACAACTTAACCATATCTTTAATTAACGCATCACTAATAAAAATGAAGTTAGAGATATCTCTAACTTAACCTCTAGTGAAAATATATTTACATACACATTTGCAAATAATTATTACAAATGCTAACATATTACAATTGCAACTAATCACTATCTGCAAATAAGTCGTAAAAGAATTGTAGATATCACCACAACCAGTCAAATAACCTTGTAAATGTCTGGAATGGTAATTATAAACTGACAAAATAGAGTTGCGACTAGGATTAGCATCCTCTTTAGGGTCTGTTCCTCAAATGTTGTGTTTTGTTTCTGTCACAATACTGTTGGTTTTGTCTCACTGTTGTATTCAAAGCAATCCCATATAGGGCTATACCGCTTTACTCCAACTTTAGTATTTTGCATGATAATGTGGTGACAAAGGTTGTGCACAAATCGACTGTAAAATACGAGAGATCAAATGCAAGTGGCTTGGGGGGTCACTTGATAAGGATTTGGTTATTTTAAATCAATAGGAAAGACCTGGAAATAAACACAACAACAGACAAAGAACAATTTATCTGTAGTTTCAATTTAATTTTTAAAGGGCCAAAATACCCTAGATATAAACAATATGAGAATTTTCAGAGATTTCAAGTGTTGCAAATTATTTAACAATTTTATTTTTGTCTGTTATGTTTAATTGTGGGAGAAACTGGGCAATTTCTTTCTTTTATTTGCTGTTTCTGACTCCCTGTTTGAAAATACATGTTTACATTTCTTTCTCACAATGTGATGACAAGGGTAAGTCAGCTCTGTTCAGTGTAGCTGTCAATCAAATCTGTCAATTACATGATCCCGCCTAGTTTTTTAGGGGATAACTGAGCCATCTTGACATAAAAATACACTTAAAATAAAAAAATATTGAACTTTGTTCATTGTATAAATAAACATTGAAAATCATTAAAACCGCTTGTGTAAATACTGTAATTTTTAAGCAAATAAAAGTTCTGCTTTTTTCCATAGACTTAAATTGGGTTTAAATTATTCTGCAGCCAGCCACAGGGGGACGATTGCCACGGTTTGTAAGGTCATGTGAGACACACCTGCAAATTGGCCCCACCATTCTTCCCCATGTCATTAATGGAGGACTCATGTTTATGAACGGAAAGCAAGTCCAGATTTCTTAAACTGGAAAGTGGAACTCGTAAAAGAAGGACAGAAAATGAATGTTTATGACTTGTTTAGAGTGTTTGTGGTGACCGCTCTCACCCGCTGCTGAATGGTGGCGTGTTTATGCTCCATTTCTCTCTTCTCCATCGCTGAATCGACCACCAGCTGATCCAGCTGTGAAGAGAGGAAACAGTTGATCCTGAGAAGACTGAGAGGAAATCAGGATGAGACTCATCCTATGCTAAAACACAAGATCTCCCGTGTTTAAAGTTGTCTTCTCGATGGTACGGTGAGAACAAGTGTGCCAAATCAGACTGTAAACAACATGGAACACAAGTGTCACATGGCATCACCTGACTTTAAAAAATGTAGTTTGCTTTTTCATTGGTTATGTTTACTAATTACCTTGCTGCACATGGCTGGTAAGTTATTATTTTCCATCCCAAAATCATATTATAAGCTCTGGGGAGGCCATCATTTGTGTGGAACCTGTTGCTTTGATGTGCACTTTTTCAAACTTGGGTAGGTGGCAGTCATTTTTAGGTGCCAAGCAGAGAACTGTCAAGGCACCTATTGTTTCCTTCCTCTGCTTCCACGTCAAAGGCCGTCGTATGAACCGCTTTGGGGAAAGTTATGAAATTTGGCACACCTACATA